GACGCTCGAGGGCTAGTTTTGTGGGTCTTTTGAAGACAAAAAAAACGGGAATTTACATAGAAATTATACAATTAACCATCCTGTAAACAATCTTCCTCCCATTTTTATGACTGGAAACTAATATGTTATTGTACATAATATTTACTGGCCAAAACAGAAAATCGCGAAATGGTCAATCCCCAGCTTATTTTCCTGGCCTATATACATTGAAGATAAAGATCCTAGAATTTTGTCTAGACGTATAATCATTCCTAAGCAATCCCAGAAGTACAGCTTATATTGTTCACAATAGCCCCAACAATGTCAAAAAAGAAAATGGCTGCCCATTTTTTTGAACAATAATAACGTAAAAAAGAGAAAATAAACGGTGGTTCAAAAATTTGTTTACTCCAAACACATTTGTTCACATATACTATTTCTTCACGAAACGATTAATAATAAAACAATATTACAATTAATACGATCTGACCTACAATAAGTATTATAGAACAAAATACAGTTGAGATGCAATTATTAGCCAAAGTAAGATTAGTCCTTACTCTGAGAATATACCTATTTGGTTAGGTACTGGATATTTCTACAAAAATCCTAAATCCACAGCTGTATTGCCTCAGACCATACGTCAAATGTTTTCTGAAACCTGCAGAGCCATTGATGAGACAAAAAATACTCTTATTTGAAGGTAAGTAATGACAAAATTAAAAAAACGTACTTATTTCAATGATTTTTTATTACATAATTAAAACATTTTAATGCACTAATAATTGTATAAAAAAGTAACGAAATCGCATCAACAAATTGGAGCATAGATACACACGCTGAAACTTGTCGTACATACAACTGTTGTATAATAAGTTTTTAAGCAAACTATCCCTGGTAGCAAAATCTTGCACCAGACATTTATACAAAACTGCTGTGTACCTACTACTGAAATCAGCATCAGGTTTACTGCAAGATACATTGTGCAATTGTCTTGATCAAAGCTTTCAATGGATTTGATTCAGGGCACTTGAGCACAAAGGGGTAAATTAAAGCAAGCGACTATGTTGCAGACTTATATTAGAATTAAGTAAGACATATTGTACTTGACATACTAATTCACCCCTTTGGACTCAAGTACTTTTGGTTAAGTCTGGTGAAAGTATTGTAAAAGTATCTTGCATAAGAAACGATATAAATTTCAGCAATAGACACAAAACAATCTGACACAATTTGGCTATTTCAAGTAAACTTGAAACAACTTATATTAGAATTGCACACGATTGTGCTACCAGGGATACTTTTGTTGTATTCCAAATTCCGAGCACATTCAAAAACTTTCGCTCAACTTTCCAATTAGAACCACGAAACAGTCTGCAACCATAGCTACGCAGGGCAATCGTGACTAAAGCAGACTCATGTTCGAGGGGCTCGAAACTACCCTCCTCGAGAAGCGGAAGGTGCGGCGCGGCGCGGAAAATACCATTTTCGTCTGTGCTTCGAAAAGTTCTCAAATAAGCAATCAGCCTCGAACAACGAACCCGCAATAGACAAAACCGTCGGAGAGCGATGCTGTCGGCAGAGCAACCACAGACGACGCACTGTGAAGTTGAAAAAATCATCCCATGTTCGGATTTCGAAAAATAAAAGCTTCTCCGAAAAAATGCGAAACTTGAGCTGGAGAACCGCAATACAAAATCAGACTACCATGTCATACTACGGGTCCATCACCCGTTCCAGGCGACTACAATCCAAAGATGCGCAAAATCCAAAGAAGTCAATTGTCGACACCTAAAGCAAACTTTACTATATAGGACCTGTGCGGACCCATCAAGATATGCGACTGAACGTCGACCTTAGTGTCTTGCAGTTTGATAATCAAGAACGGAATCTGGCTAGTACATGTTATACAACTCAAAATTTATTATTTGCATTTTATACAATCAAATAACATACTCATACTCATTTATAGTTATTAGAAGAATTTAAATACATTCCTAAACACACAACACAAGGAGCTCGGTAAAAATGCTGATTCTCCCCATATTAGAGATAATCCCCGTAATAATGTTAGTGAAAGACGACATGGCGCCCAACGTGGGGCTCGAGTTTCCGAAACACCAAGGGAAAATGATGAGAGATGACACTTTCTACGATACAAATGCGTCATACAACAGATCAAAACAACAACGCCACATATCACATATGTTGCAATTATCCTTCAAACGGATGTTTGAACCAAAATTGTACATCTTGTTGAACTAGTTTATATCATTTGAGTCTGTTTTACATAAAGGTGTACATATTATAAACCTAATATAATATAGACAGCCAGATTATAAATTTGCCGACTTTTTTTACGAAATATCTGGTATAACGCATCCACGTTTTCAATTTCGCTCCCACTGAGAAAATTTCTTATGGGCGACCATGTCCATGATTATAGAAAATAAAAAATATTTTGTGATAACTTTTATAGTGTTTATATTTACTTACCTACCTTCATTAGCAGTATATATTTGTAATAAGTGACACTTTTTTACTGCTATTTTGAATATTGTATAAATTAGCCACATAACAAGGGCAGTTCAAAGATTCCTATCTAAGGCTAAAAAAAGGAAATGCATTGTAAGTCTGGAACTGGTAGCAGAATTCTAATATATAAAATAATTTACTTACCATTCTTACCACAAATAATTGAATTTATCTTTATAACAAACTTGTAATTAATATTTTTATGAAAACTATAACTACATTAGAATAACTACATGAAATATTTTCAGTAGATATTGATTTGCTCTCATAACATTGAGGGATTTTGGCGAATTTTCAGAAAAAATAATTTCATTGCTATTCCCATTTTTTTCTAAATATATTTTATTATTTAATAAAATAAATTCTTCTAGAATTTAACATACAAATCCAAGTTACTTTTCATCATAAAATCAATAAAAATTTCTCAGCATTTGAATCTAGTTTATATTAAAGGTAGGTCTCATAATTTAATCTAATTCTTAGTAAATATATTTTATTAACATCAATCTGATAGGAAGTTCAGTTACAAATAAAAATAAATACATTTGAATCTACATACTTGTAATGACAACGTAATGGAACCCTGTGATAAATAATTATTTTGTTTGAAATGATCTTTTTAATTTACTAATACAGAGCCTTCATAAATAAGTATAAGTCACGTGGCCGCCGAGCTTAGGCAACCCAGCATTACACGGCTGGTAGTGTCAACTAAAAGTCCCCAAATCTTAGCATCATCAATATTAATGATTCGTTGACAATGAACAATGACAAACCGTTATGTCTACATTCGAGATATGTGATCGCTGATTGGTTGAATAGAATCTCGTGAAAAAATACATCAATCACCAGCCGATTAAACAGAATGTTGTGTTTTAATGTAATCTCGATCATATTGTTTTAATAATTTTTAATTTTACCGAAACTTAATTGCCAACGTGAAAGAAATAAAATTACTGTTCCAAACAAAATTACTGATCACATGACTTTTAATCATTTATGAAGGCTATGTATATTTTTAAAGACTATTTTTGCAAGCTCGTGATCGCAATAATTTATTTACTCAGATGTATGTGAGTAATATATTTATACAGACTACTGCCAGATTTTAACAGTCTTTTGAATCATATTTACAGCATGAACTTAAATTAAATTAAAAATAATATTAACAAAAATGAAAATCCTCAATAAAATTGTAAAAACTTAAGTATTAGTAGGAACAATACTTATATCAATAAAGAAAAATTATAAAAAATACATACAGGGTGTTCCTAAATAAGTGTCGCAACGGAAAACTGTAAATTCCTCTTGAAAAAAGAAACATGTTGTTCCTCTTCCATTTTTTTCTCCGGGCTTTCGTTTTCGGGATACACGGTGTCAAAACTTTCATTTTTTTCAAATTTTTTCCAAATATCTTTGGAACCGTTTGAACTACAGGACTGAGTTTTTGTACACGCATTACCACTACTAATAGCTACTTTTTCGCACCCTTCTCAAATTCATTGAACGTGCCAGTGGTGGAGATTTTAAGGTATCGTAAGGATTTTCCCCCCTAACTTTTACGCCACTGGTAAAATTGACATTTGACAGCAAATTGTGGAAGCGCCAATGATTTCTACAAATAAAGAGTTCTCTTGGTTCATTGCTCTAAAGTCAACCGTTTTCAAGAAAAATGACTTTCTATGAACAAAAACAAATATTTTGCTAATGTTTCAAAAATCTTTTGTAATTCAAAAGATAGATAGTAATAATTAACAAGTTTAACGAAATTTAACAACATTTGCAACAAGTAGCTAATAATAGTGGTAATGTGTGTACACAAGCTCAGTCTTGTAGTTCAAACGGTTCCTAAGGTATTGGCAAAAATCTGAAAAAGTTTTGACACCGTGTATCTCGAAAACGAAAGCCCGGAGTGAAAAATGGAAGAGGAAAATAACGTTTCTCTTTTCAAGAGAAATTTACAGTTTTCCGTTGCGACACTTATTTAGGAACACCCTGTATACAATCAATTATACATATATGGAGCCCTACTGGAGTACATATTTTAATTACGATTAAGTAGATCAAAAATTTAAATTCGAAAGTACCTACATATAAAAAATAAGTAAAAAAATAATTTTTAATGAAATTTCTTTTTTAAAAAAGATATACATATCTTCGAGATATTGACATAATTTCAAATTTTATAAATAAATGATTATTACTAATCATAGTATTAACAGTACTTTTTTATAGGAAGGTGGTGCGCTGTTCATATCATTCTACTCTCAATATCATAAATATAAAGCAACGAACACATAGCATTAACTAGGAATTATCATTTTCTAATGTATGTTATAAAAGTTAATCCAGTCTTTTACCACTGAATATAAAGAAAAATATATTTAAAAAAAAATTATAAACAAAAATATTACTGAAACGTATTCCTTGAAATCACATGCGAAAAAGTATTAGAGATATACTTTTATATATCACCATCCTAAAACAACAATATAAATATTTATTTGTGACATAACAAACAAGAGCGGGATTAAAAGTTAAGCTTCTTATAAAAAGTTGTTCCTATACATAATTTTTGTTTGGTTAATCATTTAGATGCGTTATTTTGATTATTAGCAAATATTCTTATACCAAGAATGTTTTAAAAAAACTTATCACCATTATAGAGGATGATAGTACAAAACCTTTTAAATTCTCTACCAAATCAATAGCTGGTTAACGTTTTTTTAGTCAGGAAAATATGCTACTTGTAATTAAAGGAAATGTTTCCAAAGTTTTTTCTTTAATAATATAAGTCCACAAACACCTTGTTTAAATCACACTTTGATGAATACAAATACAATAAACGTTGGCTTTTCGAAAAAAAATTCGAGAGACTAAGGGAAATGAAATATTTGTGGTTTTACGACTGTATATTTCTTCAAATGTAAGACAAAATAGTGTGTATCATTATTTAAGGGTCTTTTACCTTATCATAGACGGTGAGATACAATGATTTTCTTGAATATTTTTTCCATTTATAAAAGCCGAAAGCACTTAATATTATTATGAAAACAATGGCCCCAAGAGTTGAAAACACAATTGTCACTGAAAGAAAGTGATTGATTATACAATATGTGAATGGTACTAATTACAGTGTGTAACTAAACTTATGATCAAAGTTTAATGTCAGATTCTATGTTACAGCTTGACAAATAATAATAATAATAATAGGACAATTACATATAGAACGATAGGTAAAGTAATAATGACTAATAAATAGAAAAAAAACAAAGGGAATAACTTATATAACTAACAGAAATCTTCATCTACAGTACCTGAAACGATTAATAAAATACATTTTAAGCTGGTATGATTTATATCACAGAGATGCGACACCATATTAAATAAGTTGCACATATAGGTGACTTAAATAAAAGATTAGTTCTTCACAAACAATAAAAAGTATCAATATTTCTAGAATTATGCCTAGGAACATGAAATCTAATTTTACTCAGCAGCTCAGGACAATCAATTTGACCATTTAATAACTTATAGAGGAAAGTGACTGAGTTTAATTTTCTCCTCAAATCTAAACTTTGAAATCCAAATCTATCAATCAGTTGCCTATATGGTGTACCTCTTTCGGGATAAGCATTATCTATCTTAAAACATAAATATTTGATCAATTTTCTTTGCGGTTTTTCAAGTAACTCACTATGGCATAAATAGAATGGGTTCCAAACAGTAGAGCAGTATTCTAGCTTATTTCTAACGTACGAAAAATACAAAATAATGAGCGACGCGATATTAGTAAACGATTTACAGTTGCGAAGTATAAAACCGTAAGCCTTCATTGCATCATCGACCTTGGACACGATATGACATGAAAAAGATAATTATCGAAGATCACTCCTAAGTCTTTAATTTTAGTCAAACGATTAATTTCGATGTTATTAATTAACTATAACAATAAGGTGATTTCTTCTTTGTAAAACTAATAATATTGCATTTCTTAGCATTTAGATATAAATCATTCAAATTACACCAGACTTCAATTTTGGCTATCTCTCCTTGAAGAACAACACAGTCATTTAAGGAGGTAATGTCTGATTTTTTTTTCAACACACAAACAAAACAAAGTTCATAAAAAATTGTATCCATAAACGCTTTGTTTTCAAGTTAAAGTTCGAAGAAAAAAATACTTAAAATAAACCAAACATTTTAATTAGTTTTGAATACCCGTAAATAGAAAATGACTATTTCCGGACACACATTTATAGCAACTTTTTTTGTCAATTTTTAATATAGAACCTGCTATTAAAGTTTGACCATGCATTTTAGTTACACCCTGTATCTTTAAAGCATTTTTACTTTAAAATAGTCATTAAATCAAGGTAGACACATATACAATAATAATATATATTTACTACCTGTGTTACTCTTCTGAGGCCTATCTAAAACTGAGAATTCAAAGAGTTTACAAAACTCAGGTCGTTCTAGATGGAATACTTCAAAACAGTCCATTTTCTGTTAACAATATCAATAATTAACGATAATAGAGCAAAAGTTTTTTTTTCAATCTGTACAAACTACAATTATTAATATATTACACTAAAAGTTCTAGAATGAACAATTTTAAGTGAAACAAACATTGGTACAGATATAATAACTAAGGTACTCACCTCCGTTTTATGTAATTCTTTATTTGAACAAGTTAATACAGCCTTATACTCATATTTAGCTACAAAACATAAATTTGATTACTTAAATGAAACATACACCTATTTTAAATACATTTTAGTACTTACCATCTAAAGTAGATTTACTACAAATTTTATCATTAGGATATATCAAAACAACAGATTTGTTGTTTTCATAAAAATAAATGGTTGGACAAAGAGTTGAAATCTGCAAGAAATAATGAATTTGTAGAATTTGCAACACATTTTTCATTCAAGATATATTTTCTTTCGTATTGATTTTGAAAAATTGAAAAATTATGTTTGCAATTTTTTCCAAAATCTAATATCCTATCTAGGTATATCTACAGTTATTCTATACCCTGACATGGCCTACCGCTTGTTTAAAATTATTAAATATTAGGTTTATAAAATAAAGTATAAATTGTTCAGCAAAGTACAATTTTCAACATTAAGTGAGAAAAAATTGAATGAAAAAATATAAATAAAACAATTGAAATAACTAAAATACAGTGGAGTCTGATTATTACGACTCCAGTTTTAATAACCAACCATATATTGAATGTGCTACAAATAAGCTTGATTTTATATAGACAATACGTATATGGATTTGCTTAGTAACACTCAAAAAACAATGAATTTCGGAGATATAAATGAAACTTTTGAACATATTGACAAAGGGAAGTGATATGTATTTAATATTTATTACTAGGAATTGTTACTCTCTTAAGTGATTTTGAAATACTGCGTATCTCTTTATTTTGGAAACTGGTGCTCATTATGATTTCAGCAGGTTTTATAGGAGATATTCTAATTTTTTTTTTTTTAAGAATCCATTTCTCCTACTATTGTCATAGCTGTGTCCGTAATATCTTTGTTCTATCAAAACTTTTATTTTTTAGGAAAAATGGGTAGGTATCGATAACAGGTCACATGAAAATTAACATAATTACGTATATGTCATGCAACACCAGATTCTAATACATAAAATCACTAGCTGATTTTTCTTAGTTACTATGAAATATTAGAATTCTGGCTCTAATATCAACATAACGGTGTTTAGATTTAGATACATTATTAAAAATTTAAAATTTTTGATTTTATTTTCTTGAAATAAATACTTATAAATAACTAATGTAGAGAAATATTTTGACTATATTGACTTTAAATAAATTACTTCTTACTATCTGCATTAAATTCAGGTACAAATCGTCGACATTAAAGTCACATACATTCTCTAAAAATTCAAATTAAGACCTCACCAGTAAGGTGAGATAAATTTAGAATAATTTATTTTTTGCATTAAGTATTTGTTACGGTAGTAACACTTTTTTATAATTACTCCTAAAAAACACAATACAGTGGACACCCTATAAGCCAGAAACCTTATAAGAAGTCTCGGCTTTAACTGGCCACTATGACTTTGAGACGGTGATGACTGCTGATTTGTGGTGTTGCAAAACAAATATTTAGTGTGTTTTATTCATTGCACCAACTTTCAAAGACATCCCTTCCCAAGACTTGCAACCTTTACTAATTTTTCCAAACCTAAAATCAAGTCTTTCGACACCTCGCAAACCGACACATCGATCAACACGATCCCACGCATCTACTCATATCTTCCACTGTACTGTACTTTAACCGTGTATATGTGTAGGTTGTATTGAAGAAATGATTGAAGAAAACAATGGGACAAAAGCTAAATGCTCTTGACAGTTTGGTCAAAGGAGAGTCAGTCAAGCTTATTTGTGACTGGCAGAGGAATCAAAAATCAAATCAGGATTTTTGCACTCAAATAGAATCGAGTAAAACATTTTCAACGTGTTGTGCACTCAGAAAATCTGGAAACAAGAACGTCGACGGTGTACCTACTCCATTAAGTGGTACCATTTAAAAGAGAAGGCAGTTTTGCTTCATTCGAAAATTGAATTGGTTAATTTCTCTCAAGCGAAGGGTGGCCCACTTGCTGAAAGAAGTGGCATGGAGTTCACTATATAGGCCAAGAATAGTGAAAAATCGTTGGTAGACACACTAGTAGCATTCGAATTGCCTATAAAATTTCAAGACTATATCACAGAAACTCAGAACAAGTTTATAACATGGACTAAACTGACTTTAACTTCAAGTTTTTGTCCCAAAAAACATTTTCTTCAAGTCAGGAAAAAACTGCTCCTAGATTTAAGACAAACGAAGAAAGACTAACTGTAGGTGTTTGTTCCAATGCCACCGGAACACACAAGATTCCTCTTTTTGTAAAAGTCTAAAAAACCACTTTGCTTTAAAAAATGTGAACAAATCTGTGCACAGAAAGCATCTCACAACACTGAAATTTCCGATCAATACTACAGAGGTACCTGAACCTAACGACACCAACCTACTCATTGATTTACAGAAACTTCCTGAGTGTGGTAGTCTAAATGCAGAAGATGTATACGAATGAGTTACTGCTGATGAAAGTCTTGAAAACGAGTTTTTAAATGATGATTTAGTGCAAGCAGTTATTGGTCATATGATCAAGAAAATAAAGGAGAAAAAGAAGGTGTACAAGAGAAGGATGTGAAAAAAGTAACCCACACAGAAGCAAAAGCTGTATTTGAGCTAGTAACATCCTACATTGAACAAGAAGAGTCCACTTCAGGTGATATAATGTTTGTGAAAAAATAGCGTGACTTTGGTTTCAAAAGAGTAGGTAATACACGCAAAAAAAACAAAAAAAAATCGACAAATACTTTTAGAGAGCTTATTTTTCTATATTTACAGTACAGTTCTTTAAAAATGTGATATTTAATTGCCTGTTTAGTAACGATTAATATGTACTGCAATTATGTTAATACAGTAGTGTAAAGTAACATGTTCATTTTTCTCAACAAAAAAGTCTTTCCAGCGTAAGTTTTCTTAATTAGGCATATCATATTACAATAAAATACACTAGATATGTACAAGGTGCCTCAAACTCGATAGTATGGGCCTGCTGTGAGGATACAAAAAATTTAAATAAAATTTGGGACACATGATGTTAAATGGGATGAGGTAGGCTTCATTTTCAATCGAAAGTATTATCTTTGGGATTTGACAGAAATACCTAATAACGCCATCAATTATATTTTTTTCCAGAAACATATACCCAATTTTTTTTCCTGTTAAAAAGCTCTCTTTTTTTCTAATAAACTTTTATTAGAGAATTTTTCTGTATTACTTCCCGTTTAAAAGTTATAAGCAAGAGTCTCAAAAAAAATACCATCTAAAAATCACATTAGCAGTGGAAGGATCATGTAGTCGTTGGAAAATAATTGAATGTTCGTTGTTTAAAGTGCATAAATGTCATTAAGACTAAATAAAAAGATTAAAATTGATAATTCTTTAATGCAGTTAAAGCCAAACATGATCATAACAATAACTAAACGTAAAAAATGAGGCAAACGCTTTCATAACAATTCTCAATTAAATGCCTACTGATGATGCGGCACCATACATTTACTCCAAAATGGCCTTGGTTTTGGACTGGATTTACAATGCGGGAATTTTCAATGGACCAGTAGTGTTTGTTACACCTGTTTTGCAAACCATTACTGAACCGACTTTCGTCCATCCAAACAACGTGCCGAAAAAGGTTCTGATTAACAGTTTCTACATTTATTACAATTTGAGCTATAAAGTTAAGTCTGTTTTCAATGTGATGCTCAGGCAAATACTCCAAATTGTGAATTTCGTACTCATGATACCCATTGGTCTTTAAAATGCGTTGAACGGCTGATTTATCCAAATTCGATTCCCGGCAAGCCTGCCGTATTGAATTCCGTGGACTTTGTTCGAAATAGTATAACAGTCTAGCTGTATTAACATTGTTTCTTACCATTCAGTCAATTATTTGATTTTTCCGAACAGAAAATACATCTTCATTTCGTCGCAAGGTCGCCTCCAATCTTGTAAAGGTTCTATGATCAGGAATGGGGTGCTCTGGATACCATTCTCGATATAACTCTACAGCTCTTCTTGAATTTTTTTGTGACTCGCCATAAATTAGCAACATATCAACTATTTCTAAATGAGAAAACATTTTGTAAGCCCAAAAGTTATACGTTTGACGTTTGTGAGTAATGACAAGTATTTTGTGACAGTTTGCACTTTAAACAATGAACATTAAATTATTTTCCAACGACTACTTGATCCTTACACCACTAATGAGATTTATAAGTATTTTTTTCGAAACTCTTTAGAACGATATTGCTTATAACTTTTAAACGGGAAGTAATACAGAAAAATTTCTTTAATAAAAGTTTATAAAAAAAAAGAGCTTTTTAACAGGAAAAAAATTTGGGTATGTTTCTGGAAAAAATATAATTGATGACATCATTAGTTGTTTCTGTCAAATCCCAAAGATAATACTTTCGATTGAAAATGGCCTGATCCCATTCACCACATGTCCCGAATTTTATTTAAATAGTAGTAGTAGTCACAGTAGGCCCATAGTTTGAGACACCTCGTACAATGCATATATCTAGTGTATTTTATTGTAATATAATATGTCTAAGTAAGAAAACTTACGCTAGAAGGACTTTTTTGTTGAGAAAAAAGCGAAACACATTGTTACTTTACACTACTGTATTAACATAATTGCAGTACATACAAATATGTTCATTAATCCTGAAATTTGTGCAGAAATTGGAGTCAATAAATTTGAGTAAAATTTATATTTGTAAATTTAAATTACATTATTCCTTGTTTATGTAAATTTTCTTATTATTAGCAATAAATTGACTTAATAAAAATAAAATTAAAGAAATTGATTATTGCTTAAATTTTGCAAATATCAAATAAAGTGGTACATACAAATTAGCTTATTAAGCATTATTAAAAAAGAATTTTTTTTTTAAATTTGTCAAATATAACGGTACTTTACTCTTGGCGACTAACAATATTTTTCTAAATACTGAACACCCTATATAAAAAATGACAAATATTTTAACAGTTTTGACCGTTTTGGAACAAGCAGGAGTTTATACAAAGAGTAACTTATTGACTTAAACCCACAAATAAAAAACTTTTCCCTCTTCCGGACATTACAGCGGGACACGCTGTATGTGCATACTTAGTTTTATACTACAGAAACAAGTTCGTAAGTGTATTTTAATACAATGACAGTTTAACCGGCCAAATCGTTATATAGTCTGGGACTCGGTCCTGAAGTGGCTGATTAAGAGGGAGCTCACTGTATAAAATATTATTTTCAATGATTATTTTCTAAAATAACCAATGAAAATTTCTTATCTTTCCTTCGTATTATGATAATTTCTAATTATCATTGTAATTGTAACTATTTTCTACTTACATTAAGCTGCAGTGAATTCAAATATATGGTATAACCAGTTATGGAGCTTAATACTGAGCAGTTTTGATGCTCATGATTTAATTCATTTTCATGATTGAACTCATTTTCAGGATTTAACTCATTTTCATGATTGAACTCCTTTCCATGATTGAACTCCTTTCCATCCACTATGAAATACTTCTCATTTTTATCTTTTTCGTCCACTTGATATTCCTAAAAAATATAATAGATTATTACTCATTTTTGTGCAATTTTCGTTACAACCAACCTCTCTGCCACAAACTAAATTTGTATATAATAGAAGTTTTATAGTACAATCATTAATTTCTTCCTTTAGACTGAAGTGTTCATTATGTTGTATATCATCACACACTAACTCAAAAATTACTTTATTAATAGGACTTTTGGTATCACAGGTTTTTGATAGGTTCATTTCTAGAAATGTTGTACTATTATTTAACGTAAGATGTTTCTTTAAAGGTACATTTTGACAATCATCTACAAAAAAAAATCGTTTAAATTAAGTCAACACTGAATTATTTCTATAGTACTTGCTAAGCACTGGGAGTAACTATCCTTACAAATATCAAACACGTAGTACATTTTGTCAATGTTGACTTTTACAGACTTTCTATTTACTTCTGTAAAATCTAATCTAAAACAAAAAAAAAAGTAACAAATATTCACAATATACCGAATTAGATCATAAAACCTGAAAACTTGAAAAAATTATTATTAGTAGACATTTAATTGCACTTTATGACGGGGTAGGGTATGTAGAATGATAATATCAAAATGTAATTCGAAAGAAGTGATGACAAATTGTAAATAAGTGGCAAATTTATGTGTTTTTTCAGTATTTTTACTACCCATGAATATCTAGACCAGGGGTCGGCAAGTAATTTTAGGTGGGGTCCGGATACTTTTAAAAATTTTTAACGAGGTCCAGAAAAAAAATTAATATTTCTTACAAATTTTCATTTGGACTCAAATTTAATCTGCTTACTAACCATTAAGAACTCAAATGAGTCACACAATTGTACAGTACTAGAAAAAATGATAAGGTTGGCACTCAAACGTAAAAAACATTTTTTAAATAATTTATTTGAGTAATTTATGCTTTAAAAAAATTTTTGGCGGTCCAGGATTTTACCTTCCGTGGTCCGGACCTGGACCGCGGTCCACCAGTTGCCGACCCTTGATCTAGACAATATATCAGAATATTTGTTATTTTACTTTGTAAGCAATTAAATTACCTACAATTTATTTTTCACTAATTTGACTTGGAACGTTTCAAATTCAGTTCAAAAGTCTCACGCCATGAACGGGCCCGGTGCTCCTTCTCCCGCGTGCAGATCGTTAACTATTACTGCTGCTAGCGCGTTTATTAGATGAACTATCAATGTAAAACTTTTTGGAAATAAAAGTTTAACCCTTTCTTTATTTGTCTCTAAAATCTCGGTCCGATACGTCCAATAGTTAATTAACATTATAAAAATAAAAGTTATCTTGGGAACAAAGAGGCATAGGTGATTTATTTTTTTTAAATTACCGTAAAAATAAGCTCTATTTAATGCAAAAAGAGCAAATTCCCGAGCGGCTTTTGCTTGACTGGGACAATTTGTTGATAACTTTTTGAAATTTTTGTTTTTCGACACGTTACTTTCGATCAATTAGAACCTATCTACGATATTAACTTCTAGAATTAACGTTTAGTAATTAAACAATTAACTGTAAAAAAACAAACGAAATTAATAATTAACAAATAGCTGGAGCAACAATTTCATGGCCAATTGAATTGGCGTTTGGCACACATTGAATTGACGGATTTTTTCCATAAATTTCACAAACATCCATCGCTTTTTGCAATAATGCGCAATAATTTTCAAAAATTGATTGCGCGTTCGACCTTTATTTTACAGTTAACAAATTGGTGAAATATCACTTTAGATAGGTACCTTAAATTGTAGGTAATATAATTGCCTACAACATAAAATGACTAATTTTCGGATAGGTCGTCTAGATTTTCGTAAAAACTGTGAAATACCACGTAAATATGCCACTTATTGGCAATTTGCTAAAAATAGTTCAAAATTATAAAAAATTAAAATATGTTTAATAATTTGTTAAAATGCTCTTTAACAAATAAGTTTAACAAAAATTAAAATCTATTAACTTCGAAAGAGCTTTCCCTGATATTTTTCATTTCCATCATACACAGCCCTCATAAATACTTAATTGATAAATGAAGACAGAATATTCATGATTCGAAGCTCATGCTCTATATTTGGTGGGACAAACCTATGAGCTGCTTCAACGGAATGAAAGCATCACTGGTGAACGCCACCAAACACAGTTGATGTGTTTGAGCCGGGCATCGAAGTAAAAACGGCCGTAATTCGAGCAAAGGCACAATAAAGTAATTTTTTAACATGACAACGCTCAACCATACGTTGCTGGTTAAATCAAAAAATGCTTAAAAAGCTGAAATGGGATGTTTTACACCACCAGATATTGCTCCATCGGATTACTACTTGTTCCGATCCATGAAACGGGGCCTACCTAAGCAGCGCTTCCAATCTTATGAAGATACGTAAAACTGAATCGATTGGTGGATAGCATCAAAAGATGAGTTGTTCTTTCGAAGCGGAATCCATATGCTACCAGAAAGATAGGAAAAAGTAGTGGCTACCGATGGACAATACTTTGAAAAATAATAATGTACAGAATTTTTCACAAGCCTTGAATTTACAAAAAAAACCCTCAAAATTTCCCTAGTAGTTAGTCACAAAACTGATTGCAATTATTATTATATTTAAAACGTAGCAGTAAGAGTGAATTTTATGAGGCAACTTACGAAATATCACCGGATGTGTCTTTAATTATACACCGACTCATACCAGAATCAATTTTATTTAAGCAACCATGAGGAGTCCTCCACTCAAATTGGAATGTACACACTGTATTATTTACAAGTCGAGGTTTTTTCTATAAAAAAAAAAACATATACATTTAATTCATGTTACTTAACATCTATTTTGTATAATAGAAATAATGTTACCTCCTCAGAGTCACAAATTAAACTAACACTGCTAGTGTAGTCCCCTTCTTCTCCGCAGTAAGTCCCAGTTAGTGTTTCTATAACAATCTGTTCGTTAACAATAGATATTAAATCTATTTTTCCTAGTGACTTTATTCTGAAATTAAATACATACATTTTCAATTTTAAACTGTCTGCAATTATTAACCAATATTTTTCACATTAAACCATGGTTCCTACTATTTTTTTGTCAATAAGAAAAGAATGTTACGATGGTTAAAACTTGATCGGTTTTGGAAAAATTATCATAATTTTAAGAAACTCCAAAATTAAATTCTAAATTAAAAAAATAAATCAATCAATCAACTGCCTGAAAATGTGCTACAAGAAAACAATCTATTTTTCATTCAAAATTGCCATTATCTGCTACTTGCGGTATCACACATTTAGGATTAATTTTACATTCAAAATTTGAATCACTTTTTGAATCGTACCATAAAAGTAAAATTTATTGGGTCATAAATTGTTAAACGTAAAACCTGTTCATAGTCCAGACGGTATCTGTTTCAAAAAGCCATATTTGGATGAATCGTATATCCACGGAGATTTTTGGCTTTTTGGCTTTCAAATATCACTAGAAATGAAAATTTTTCTATGCGCATAAAAAAAAACGTGGGCTTAACTTTTGGCGGCACAATATGTTAAAAAAATTGGAAAAATGTCATATTTTTCTTCCTATTTAATTATGTATCTTTTC